GTTGGGGGACAACTCTCGTTTTCGTACCTGCTGATCGTACAACGGTTTGATTGAGACAATTCATGTGAGTATGATTCAGTAAGGTGGACTAATTGGTCCTCATATTTCTTTGAATTTGATTTGGATGGACGTTCTCCCATTCCATCCGCCTCTCTCGGGGAACGTTGCCGTGCCGTGCCTCTCGACTTCGTGTCGTTGTCCGCCCGTCGGATCCGGTCGAAGGCGGCGGCGGCCCATCCGCATGGAGAGCTCCATTTCTACATGGTGTACTTGTGACCCTGGCCCTGGATGGAAGTCTAGGGAAGTCTAGTGAGTCTGCAGTAATTACGCCGTTTGCTTTGTAGCTGAGGGGTGGGGAAATCTGAGAATTTGGAAGTGAAAGAGGTTCACGTGTCATTTCATGGGTGGCACCGAAATTTGGGAGGTCGGATGCCGTTGACTGCGCCACCCGAACCCGCAACAACAAGCTCTATAGTAACATAGCTGACTGCTAAACGGGGCTGTGAGGAATCCAGGGCTGCTGGATAGGAAGCGGCCAACATGACAGGACATGGCTCAGCGACGGCGTGAGGGCGTGAGGGCGTGAGTGAGCGAGTGAGTGAGGGAGTGAATCCAGATCCAACCTATGTTGGCCGTGGCTAGGTGAGGGTCATAGAACTGCAGGTGGCCATTGGTGGGACTGCCAGAGCTAGAGAGTGAGAAAGAGAGAGAGAGAGAGAGAGACTGTGAGTAACCCAACAAACCATCGCCTAGGCATGCCTAGGCCTATTCTTCCTGGTCCTTCCTCTCAAGACACCTGGACCGGGCTTCTTGTTTCACGTCTACTTTCACGGTATATACGTCTCACCGTTTCCTCCCGCGCCGCCTTCCCGCGCCTTCCCGTCCCCCTACCATCGAGGCGAGGCGATGGGGGTGGCTTAGAGGTTCGTCCCTCGCAGATCCCGTCCGCGGGGCGGGGGCTCTTTGCCACGCGCGCCTCGGACGGCGGCGGAAGACCGGACGCGTTCTCGACCGTTTCTCGGGACGACGGAGGATTGGGACGTCCGGAGGTGGTGGGGATTGGGACGTAGAAGGGGCCGACTTTTAAATTTTTAGAGTTTACAGGTTCAATTGGCCCTGTTCACAGCTACATCATAGAGAGTTGAGTAGTGGAAAAGGCTAGCAAGGCCTCATGATCCCAACTTTTTGGGGGGGAAGGCCAGCAATCCAGGTTGGGTTCATCACCTCCATTTCACCCCGAAACACAGGAACGCCTATAGTTCTGACTTTGGACCATCCCTTTGCATCCCGGCGAAAACCCAGGTCTTCGGGGCTTCCATGTTTGATTTCACCTGGCCTCCGAGTGACCCCACCCGGCTGAGCTCGGACGTGCTGGGCCCTGGGCCGAAACCGAGGTTCCTTTGCAGCAGGTGAGCTGCTGTGCGTCTACGGGGGCCAGGCCGTGCCCTTGGCCAAGGTGCTGCGCGGCGCCTCGGCGCCGGCACGGCCTTGGGGCTGGTGATTGGTGGCCTGACCCAGAAAGTTCGGCCAGTATATTTGGATGTATATATATATATATTATATACCCTGGGAGTCAAAGACTATCAAAAGAATGGTCTTTAGGTGACCCGAAAAGGAATATGCTTCACTTCAGTCGGTCAAAATATAGTCTTTGGACTTCTAGGATATATACTTATATGATATATGGTACCAAACTGACCCCCTGGAAGAGGACATCATTGATGAAGACATTACATGTGGGTGGAGAACGAACGCCCCCCTGCGTTGTTGAAGGCTACCATGGAGGGCCTCCCATGGAATTCCACCGAGTTCTGTGAGCCCGAGGGCAACCGTTCTTCACCAGATCAACATCACGGTCAGCATGTAGGATTCCAGGGCACAGAACTTTTGATGGTCTTTTTTTTCAAAGGCCGGGGGGCCAGGGCATGCCGGAACCTCGCCTCGACTTCTTGTGTTTATAGTAGGTTCCATTGACCTAGCCGCCCCCCGGGTAAATTTCATGACAAGACAGTGGGGGGGGCAAGGGTCAAAATGTCTCTGTGGCTGGCAAGGCAGCGAGCAAAAGCTTGGTTCAAAGAGGGTGTAGATGTCAAGACAGAATATGATCATGTCAGCAGAGTATGATCATTGCACAGGTGTCAAGGCAGTATGCTAACCTATGGTCGGAGGTTGCTCCAAAAATGTCAAGACAATGAAACCCACTATATCTGATCTGCCCAACCGATTGATACAACGATTCCTGACATGCACCATAGGGAAAAAGAACCTGTACAACGCAACTCCCAGTCGAGCCTGGGCTCCTCCACTGGCCGACTTTGGATGATCTTTGATGATTCGCCAACGGCTCGACACATCGGAATCGACGTCCGATGTGTTGGGTGCCACCGGGCCGCCGCAAGACCGGGCAAGATGAGACGAAGAAAGGCTTGCAGGAGTCCAAAAGGGAGTGGTTTGGGGTCCCATTCAGTGAGTGGATCATGGGTATCCCTATCCTCCAAGTTAGGCACCCCTGGGCCCTGTCTGGTGACTCCTGGTTCTTCGCATTTCTGAGCCTTCCATGGTGAGCTCCGGGTTCGGCTGAAGGCTTCATGTCCACGCCCAGGCGAGGTCAAAGACAAGGACTACCTGATGGGCGGCTTCGGGCTGTACAGCCGCTGGGCGAGACGCCACGCCGGGGCGGGGGGCAGCCGTGGTGAAGCCGTGGTTGGGGCAGCAAGGGTGGTTCTTGGTCTCCCTTTGGGGGAGCTTTTTTGGAGAAACTTTTCCCTAGCGTGCGGGCATGTCCTCCTCACGGCCAAGCACGGCCAACCACGCCCTGTCAGTGTCCTCCTCACTTCGCCGATGCGCGGCCTTCGCATGGCATTGGTTCCCTAAGTCCGGCTGAAACACCGGCCTAACAAGTCAGGTCAATGTTCTTTAGTTGGGCCCCAAACAAGTCAAGCCACTTCTTTCAGAGTCTTTACCTCCCAAACCTCCCCTGTCCCGACCTCCCCTGTCCTGTGGCACCAAACCGCCCGGCCGTCACTTCGGCACCGTCAGGTGTCGACGCTGCGAAGCATCCGGAGGTCTTGGCACGCTACATCAATGACCACGTGCCATGGACGGAGGGGACGGAGGGGACGGGCGATGAGAGACGTCCGGTAACGCCCGTATACCACAAGTGGGTCTACGGTCTACATTTCAGTATGCCTACTAGGGTCCCTCAACAGTAGTTGGGGGGATATCCTTTCACGATGTCTCTAGCAACATGGTCTCTAGCGTGTGGATTCAACCAGTGTGACTCCGCGCGAGGTCGACGCTTCCAAGCACAACGTCAAGTTCCTGAAGCTCAAGAGGCCGGGCTCGCTCGGGGAGGGTTTCGGCCTCGGAGCTCGCTCCGCCGACGGGAGTGGGCGTGGGCGCGGGGGGTCACAAAGAGAGCTTGGACGTGGTGCAGGTTGCCTGGTGCACGGCAGTTAGGGCAGGGTGCAGTGACTTTGGATTTTTTGGGGAGGCCTGTCTTGGTTGTTGGACCCACTTCGATCCACTTCTGCAGATTCTGGTGTCTCACCATTTTCGAATCCATTTTCGCTGCAGAATTCCCGTGTTATCTACCGAGGGAGTTGCGCGAACACTCGCTGGGCGAACGCAGATGTTCGTTGCAGTCCACCACAGGGAGCGGCGGGCCCTGGCGGTGGCCATGCGGGAGATTGTGGCGGGAGAAGAGATCCATGCTGCTTGGACCGCGGCACAGCGCACGGAAGATGAACTGGTGATTGACTTCAACTGCAGACCATTCACTTGAAATGGTGAGGTCCATGGTTCTTCACTTGTTCTTCGGTGCCTCACCGATCTCTGAAGCGAACCGGACGACGACCGACCCGGACAGGACGACCGACCCCGCTCCCGGCTCCCGCGCAAAGAGGCTGCAAAGCAGGTCGTGACTAGACGATCTCTTCGATCGTGTCTCTTTCAATCTGTCTATTTCAGGCACTGCTGCAAATCTAAGACAGATTGAAAGAGACACGATCGAAGAGATCGTCAAGAAAGAACTGGTTTGCAGCTTCTTTGCGCAACTGAGGCTTTCTATGGGGAAGGCTATTGGAGAGCTCGCCCGGCTCCAGGACTTGCAGACGCAACAACAAACCAGGTCTCAGAAGGACCAAACGTCACACGCTGGACCAGGAGTCACAAAGGAGTTGTGTTTAGTCCCTCATTGAGTGGATCATGGGCACCCCGAACCTCCATGGATAGAGGCCCGTCTGGACTGCTGGGGTATATCTTTTCACAAAAAATCCTGGAAAGACGCCTCCCTCCACACCCAGGCCGTGGCCCGATGCCTGCAGCTGGGGCGAAATGAAGGCAGCCGGCGAACGCGCGCGAACGCGCGCGAACGCGCGCATGCGCGAGCGCGCGAACGCGGTTGGGGGAACGTCGAGCCAGGAGGACCAGCTTGGTTTCATTCAATGGTCCTCAGGCACATGGGCATATATAGACCCTGTGGATCCCTGCGGATCCGAATGGCACGCTGAAAGGCTGCTTTCCCCCTATAAACTAGTTGTTTTCAGGATCCATGTTAGCCTTCAGCGGGGGTTTCTCCTGTTATTTGGGGGCTTCGGTTGAAGGACGCTGGGATGCTGAGGACGCACTTTGATGAAGGTTGGTTTTGAGAAGCTCACAACGCCGTCCCGGCCGTACTTTGGATTGCCACCTCCGGTCCAGACGGGGCTTGTGCCAACGCATGCTCCAGCAAATGAAGGAGGGAACGGGACACCTCAAGCAGTTCTGGAACAAGACCCCCGCAGCAGATTCGAAGCATCCCAGAAAAACCCAGAGACGGACCCCACGGCCGATCTGCCTGGCAACCGGGGTCACTTGCCACCAGCTGCCCGAAGTGAGAAAAAGGAGAACCCCAACACAAGCCACTGGATATACCGTCTCAACATGACCTATGAGGATCTCCCTTAGTATCCTTAGTCCCTGCTAGGTGCCAGCTCTCAGCACGCCGGAGGCAAAACCCACCCGGTTCCAACCCGTTCCATGGTGACAGACGCCGCGCCACCCGCGGGTCGCGCCATGGAGCCACAAGACTTGTCGGCGTCCGAGCTGGAGGCCGCGCGCGGTTTGGACGCGGATTGGGCAGACGCGTGGGGCGCTGTGGCCAGGTGGCGTGGGGTGAAAACAGCTGGAGCCAGAGCCAAGGTTCAGGAGGGTTCAGGGCACACACCACGAAAGCCAAGGAGTTGGGGGTTGAGTCGCGCGCTAGGCGATGTTGAGTGAGCTCTTGGGCAAGTATCAGGAGCCTGCCTTCCAGCGCGCCTTGCAGGAGGCACATGCGTCGGCTGGACACATGCAGCTTGCAGATGCTGGTCGTCCTTGGGGGGGGACTGGTTCGGAGACCCTCAGGGTCCACCTGATCGGAGGGGATGGGGGTTCCGCTTGGGTCGCAGAATGCATGATCCTTGTTACCATGTGGGGGATTGTTTGCATCATACCTCGACCCCAAGAGCGATCACCCAGACATGATTCCCGGATGATCCGGATTGTGGTATGTCAATATGACTATGAGTTCATCTACCTTCTTCATGCACTGGATTTGTGAGTTGGTGAGGGTAGACGCCACATCCTTCGGAATCAGTCAGAACAAAGCACTGGTTCGCTGGTCCCAAGGGGCCGCTGAGCTGGTCAGGCCTACAGCAGCTGTGCGAGGCAGAAGATCGGGCTCCAAGCAGCGTTAGGGCCACTGGTTCTTTCGGTGCAGAAGCCGGTGTTGGCCGCTGAGCTGGTCTTGGTGTGGGCGGTGGACTTGGGCTGGGGGCGGTCTTGGTGGGGCTAGTAGCATTACTGGCTGGCTGGACGCTTGGGGACCTTCTTGAGGTTTTACGAGGGAGGGCCCCATAAGGAGCTACCAAGCAAAACAACGGAACGTATATTCCAAAGAAGAAAACACATGAAAAAGCATGAAAAAGCACATTCCAAAAACTACCATCGCGGCGGTTTTCACTAGGTCAGGACATTTCTCACCCTATTTTAGCAGTTCCGTCATAATACATAATAAATCATAATAATGATACATGGGTTCTTGGATTCAGTTCAGGCCCAGCAGTTTTCTCTCCCCGCTTCTTTTGGAACCCAAACCGCCTCGAACGGCGGCCTCGAACCGGAGGAAAAGTACGGCCTCCCGGGCAACGCCAGTGGCGTCGACCTCATGAAGCATGCCGTGCAGCGCCGCGCCACGGCGCGGTGCAGAGGGGATGCGGCGCCCCGCGCGTTTGGTGGAAGAGAACATCCAAACTTGGGTTCAATGAGCGGTGCCTGTAAGAACCGCAACATCTAAAGGAAGAAACGATTTTGAAAGGTAGCTGGGAGTCCATGAAAACGAACAGAACGAACAGAACGAGTCGAAGCGCCTTTGGGGGGTTGCCACATGCCTCGCAGCATCCAGAGTTAAACATGTGTTGCTTCGGCCCCTCACGGCCTTGGACGATCCAGAAGTGAAAGACACGCGACGACGAAGCTCCCCCATTGCGGGCCGGAACCTCCAAATCTGTACTTTGGAAGGGGCTGCCGGCTACCCGGTCCTACCCCAATTTCTCCTAAAATCGTCAGCATGAGATCAGCAGTCGTTGAACAGCGCCCCCTCCCCAACACCAACCCCGATTTCGCCGCCCCACGGGCCGGCGTGGACTCCACCACCCCCCGAGGCATTTGCGAAGGCTCCGACGCGGTGGAAGATTTGGCGAACCAAGCCCGGAAGGCAAGGCCTCCCTCCCGCCCATCCCGGAGCGGATGGGACGGACGGCGAGAGTGGAAAAAACAGGGGTGCCAGGCACCCAAAAGGGAGGAAAGGATAGTTTAATCGATCTCAAAAAACGTCTAAGATGAGGAGTTGAACATAGTTGAACATATTCTTGAATTTCGAGATGATATAAGGTTTCAACAGTTTTCAACAGTTTTGAATAGAACGTTTCTTTATTTTTTTGGCTGGTTTTTGTGTGAGGAAACCGCTCCAGTGGCTGGCAACTGGCCTTGGCATCCCTCCCTCGGGCAGGCCCTGGGCATCGAGCAGCTGCCCAAGCGCCAGGTCTCCGCGGAGGAGCAGCTGCAGCGCGGCGCCGATGAGACGGCGCCGCGGTGGGCGGGGCGGGGTCGGAGGTCCGGTTTCTCCAAGTGGTGTGGCAGTTGCTCTGGGCATGTGGTTGTAGACAAAAAAAGCCCGACGCAATCATGGTAGAGAGAATCTTGAAGCATCTCTCCTTTCTGTGGGGCATAACGCTTTTCCACCATGTGCAAGAAGTTTGGATGAAGAGGGGTACAGCAAGAATACGACCACTTTATTTCACCTTCTGCCCAGCAACACGGCCACTTTTGACGAGGTCTTTCGCTTCTCTTCGCCCGCTTCTCTTGACGTTTGCCGGACGCAGGCGGCCAAGTTTGCCGGAGATGGGCAGCCCCAGCTGTGGCAGCAGTGTGCTAAAATGCTGGAGCAAGCCATGGCCAAAGGCTGGACCAGTGGCGTCCGGAGTCCGGAAACGAACCCGTCCCCCTACCGTGCTCTCAAGCTGAGCTAACTGATCGTGCTCGCATGCCAATGAGCCAAACACCTGCCCTTTTCCATTGGGATGTGTTGGGGGGTCGTCGGTTGGGACGAACCTCATGAGCTGTGGCGGCCGGTGCTGCCACGACGAGAATCATTCTGCTGAGAGGATCACTTGAGAATTGGCTCTCCTGTTTTGCTGAGCTGGATTGTTCTTGGATTAGTTCCTGGATTCCCTCCATGCATAACCAGGCAATGGGACATGAATCATGACCATGATATTACATCAAACATCGAAGCAGATACAAGCCCCTTGGTGTTCAGGCACGATCCCAGAAGCGTCGATGCAGTTCTTGCAAGAGCTCTTGAGCAGAGAGGCGGTGTCAGTACCCTCGATCCTGTGCTTGTTCAGGACCGCAGAGAGGCAGAGGTTGCATGCGCGACAGACGTGGCCAAGACAAGACATGCTGAGACCCCCCTGCAAGTCGACCCTGTCGAGCGGCACGCGTCGACCCGGACAGCCAGTTCGATGCCAGCGAGTTCAGGACACCTTCGCAGTGTCCGACCTTCACGCCCCACCAAGAAAACTCTCCCAAAGACCGCCAGGCAAGCAAGCTCATGGGTGGTGAGGCCCAGAAATCGACTTCTCTGGATCATGGGGGGGGTTTCAACATCAAAGCTGCTAGCTGCTAGCCATAGGATGATCTCTGGATGATCTCTTGGTCATCTTCTCGCACGCGCAGGATGGCCCAATTGGGGATCCATGTGAGCCTGCTGAGGGGCCTGAGGATACCTAGCGAAGCGACCTGGCATGAGGGTGACCTAGAGAACTACAGTGGTTGCAGAGTAGATGGAACAATCCCCTTTTATATGGTGGTGTAAAGGGACCACCATATAAATACATGACATCTAGGTTTGTGCCATGTACTCTGAAACAAACCTGCATGGAGCAAAGCCATGACTTCAACCACCTTCCTCAATGCGCCCTTAAACGCCGCTTCGACTGTTGCGTTCGCATGCGTTCGAAGCTTCGCCGCACCGGACTGGAGCACTTCGATGATGGCGCTGTCCTGCAGATGAACCCCCCAAACCCGCCCTTTTCTGGTGGAGGAACCCCATCTTCCCGAGCCAGGGCGTGGTCTTGGTGAGACTCGGTCGAAGGTGACGCTCGTAGCTCTGAGGTGCCCGAGGTCGTGGAACTGCCACCAGCGAAGCTCTTCTTTGAGCGCTATGCCTTGACTGGCTCTCCCGTGGCCCCTGGGAGTTTACCGCTGTGCAGTGTGCGGACGGATGGCCACAGGATGGCCAGAAGGATACGCAGGAGTTGTTTGTAAGTTCCACGTTGTTTGCACGAATGATTTCGTAGATTGACCTGGCAGGTGCCCAGAAGTTACAGTTAGGTCCTGCAGCCTTGTCATCCTACAGTCTTAATGTTACACAAGGTGTCTGTTCTCCCAGCCACATTCAAAACGGTGGGCCGGTGGTTAGGAAGACCGGAGTGTTGCGCATGCATCGTGCCCGCGGGACCTCGTGCGTGCGAGCAAGCTCAGCGAGGTCCTCCGCGGAGCCTTCTCGCCCGAGCGCTTTGAACCCTGCGGCCGATTGCCGGACTTCGACTTCTTACGCCAGAAGTGTAGCCACCGGCGGGCCGCGTGGCATGGTAGGTGGAGGTGGGGCACACGTGGCGTGTTAGGTGAAAAGGACACTGGATGTTTGTTGTTGAGCTTTTGGAAGCTTCATCCAGTAACAAGTAGCTACTATAGGAACAAAGGGCATCGCTACGAACGGAGCAAGGACGGACGCTACGAACGTAGCTCCTGGCATCGCTACTAGTAACAAGAAATTCGGTGATGGTTTCGGATATCTTTATTTTCAACCCCTTACTTGGGGATGATTGGGCCCTCCGACATATTTTTACCAAGTGGGCTGAAAACACCAACTAGGCCCTCTCCCAAAGTTCATTCCACCTTCATCCAACTTCCAAGAAATGCGTGGCGCAGTTGTCAGCTCTTCCGGTGCTTCGTCATGGGCACCGACCGACCTTCCTTCCACGGGCTACAGCGGCTCGGCCGCGCGAGGTCATCCCTTCCCGCCCGTGACCCTCCGAGGTCTTGGTGAAGAGTCTGGGCTTCCAGGACGGCGCCGGGCGCTTGCAGTTCATGACGGACCCTGCTCCTCGGCTCTTCAGCGGACGCGGGGCGTTCACGCGGGTCGTTCGGCGGGACCGAAAGGGAGTCTGGGTGGACCGTTCGACGCTGGTGGTCGTGTGTGGCATCTTTTTTTTGGGGAAGACAAACCAAGCTGCCAGGTGATAGGGACGAAAACAAAGGAGGTGTCGATGTTCACACCTTCACAAGTGTGGCAGGCTCGATCTCCTACATGTGTTGCAGAGTGGGCATGGCCCCATGACCGCAAAAGATTGGCCTTGACCGCCGCAAAGGCATGCTTGGCATTGGCATCGGCCGCCTCGGTGACTCCAAAGGCAATCATTTCTCACATGATCACCGCTATCCACTGAAAACCGGCCTCCCCGCTAACCGCTCAAAGCCCACCTCCCCTCAAACTAAAGAGCCATCAGCATCCACCAGCCGCACCTGGCGCCACCGGCCCGTCAGCCCACCGCCTGAGGAGTTGAAGCTGCCCTTTGCAGCCTACCTGGAGGCGGTCGAACGCTGCGAGCGAGGTGCAGAGCCCGCCGTTTTGACACGGGAACCGCTCTTGCGAAAAGGGGTTTCAACGGGAACCGTTGGCGTGAATAGATTTACAGTAGATTTTTTTGGGGGGGGAAGGACTTGTTGAACACATTCTCAAACCAAAGAGAGTTGAGTTTTTGGCTCTGCTTGCTGACTATTTGGCAGCCATTGTCCTTTCGTTTGACTTGTGCCTGGAACATCTTGAAGTTGCATAGTTGAACCATATATATTTTACATATGGCATAATATATATATATATATTATATTATATAACTCTCTCCTCCCTCTGTCTCTATATATATATACACATATACAAACATAGACAGGAACAACATTTGATGTGCTTTCTCTTTCAAAAACCCTCTTTCGACGCCAGGGGAGGCGGCCATGCCCTACTACCTGGGCAAGGTGCCCCTGGCGGCGGAGCTGCCTGAGCTGGCGGAGGAGATCCGCGCAGCCCGCACGGACCCGCAGCAGGAGCGCAGCCGGGAACCTGAACGAACCCCGCCGGACGGGTGTGGTGGTTGGCGAGATGGATGTATGTATTTGCGAATGCAGGTGCGGACAAGATCTTGCTGTGAGTATGGGCTCGGCTGCCCCGATAAGAACCACTTCTTAAGGCTTCACAAAAGTCGCATGATGCACATAACGCACATAATACCCCACAGCTTGGAGGGTCCCGGGCCGCATGCGGGTGCAGTGTTTAGCCAAAAGCACAGCCTTAGTGAGGCCACGGGTCCAGAACCACCGAGCATGCACCGTCCGGCCCTCGCTGCGAAGGAGTATGGCAGCTGCTTCGGGGACCTGCTGCCCGAGGGCGTCTTCACCTACTTTGGCTGCGGCCGGAACACCACGTCGGTGCACTACGACGCGCATGAGACGCTCGGTGCTTGCTGGTGGCCTAGCCAAACGCCCCCGTTTTCCGAGGATCTGAATCAATCTGGGGGGGTGTCTTTTGGTGTAGCTTAAGGCGCCAAAGAAGCCTGCAAGCTGCTTACCAGACCCATGAACTCATGACCTAAGAGCTTCTGTGTCACCAAGCATCAGCTTGTCCAGGTGAACTCCACAGACTCCACGGATCTCCTTCAACACCCGGTGACACCGCGCAGCCCGGGCGGGCGGGGACGCTGAGGAATCTCATGATCTGCGTGTGCGGCCGGAAGCGCTTGTGGCTCTACCCACCCGGGGACGCCCGCTTCGTGTATCCCATCTCCAAGGAACGCTCGAGCGATGCGCCGAGAGAAAATAGAGACGGCCGGGAGAGCCACAGATGGAGGGAGATGCTGGAAGTACCGACAGGTTTGCTTGGAAGGGATGGAATGGTGTCCGACAGGATGTCTAGCTCGGCTGCACTTCCGGGCTAAGGTCCATGGCTGCCGGGCACTTGCTAAGCAAGTGGAATTGGGGACACCAGACGTGGTGCAGTTGAACATGTCCCCAGCAATTTCTACGAAACGATCCTAGTCAATCCAGCACATCCAAGAGAATCACTGTCGAGGGTGGTCAACCACCCCATCTTTGTGCTGGGTGTTTCGGTGGGGTTTGGCATTGCATCCCTTTTCTTCCGTCCCGCGTCCCGCCGTCCTGCCGGGAGGACCGTGGGCCGAGCATGGATTTCAGCCGCTCCTCCATTTTGCCCTTCCAGCGGTTCGAGGTCCGGGGGGTCCGCGAGGTCCCACTGCCATTGGTTGAAGGGGACCACCTGTCCAGGACACCCATCGTTTGGGGGGGGAGTGAACACCTTGGGTTTCCGGTTTCCATTAAACCAAGTCTGGGAGAGCTGCTCTAGTGACTAGTGCTCACGTGATTGAGTTGGTGGCAAGCGTTCATGTCAGGGTTGGAACCACTTGCTTAGCAGAGAAGTGGGGGATGGTCCCGATTCGGAAGACTGATTTCCTCGAGGAATAGGCAGTGAAGATGAATTCCAGATTCCATGTTGGTCAAGGTGAGGTAGTCCCAGTCTAGACATCTACTACTACAAACCCCAACATGTGACCCCATTTCCACCACGATGTAGGCCAGGAGTCGTGCTTTGGGCATAACACACTCCGGTCGGGTTCGGTGCTGTCGTCCTGCCACAATGCCTGGTTTCGTTGGGGTGGAGACGTTGATCCAATGGTTGGGGTTATGACCATTGACATTGACCTAATATGTATTACCATTGTATGTCAATGACCTATGTATGACCATTGTATTGACATTTGCCCCTTCTTTGCGCCATCTGGCAGCGGCACTCCTACGCCGTTGTTCAACGGCTTCCTGCCGTAGGAGCTGAGTGCCTCCGATCGAGCTCGCTACCCCATGTTGGCGAATGCTGCCGGGCCACTGGAGGTTTGGGTGGAGAAAGGCGCGACGACGGCGTGACGACGGCGCGACGGATGAGGAACTGACAACGCGAAACAAAGTGAGAAGAGCTGCAGGAGAACAACCCATCTGCTAGCTGGGTCGATCATCGGCTGACACAGCTTGGCTGGCTTGGCCCGTGGCGCGCCTATGGGGGTTTAGGGTTTAGGGTGCAGGGAGGTGGTAAAGATCTGCATCTTCTCTCATGGGGCGTGAATGGATGAAGTGGAGAGGTTGGAGGGATCAGAAGTCTGCTACAAAATCAACAGGCTTCAGGCGGCCTCAGGCACCTTTGGGTTGTGATACTTGAAGTGCTCATTTTCTGGGCCATGCTTGGCAGGCGACTTGTTCTATCTGCCGAGCAGTTGGTGGCATTGTGTGGGCCTGATGCAAGATGGTTGGGGGAGTTTGGCTCGTTTCGATTTGCAGGGTGGGAAGGAAGGGGCGTAGGACAGGAAATCTCCATCTAGGCTGAACTCGCAGCTGCCGGTCGCGATGTTGACGTGCGTCGTAAACGTTGGACCCCCCGAAAACAAACAATTATTGTACTCATATACAGTACCAGGGCCTTCAAGGGGTGGTTAATGGACACCCCTTAACAGCTAAGGGGATATAAATAGACACCCCTACACACGACACGACGAAAAAACCTCCGCCACTCTTGCGACAATGGTCCCAAAAAATGCCCCGAGGTTTTGCAAATCAGTGAATCAATCACCTGAAAGCCGGTGTTCAGCATCTCAACCCATGTCACCACCCATTCGGTCTTCTAATCGGATCCGGAAGAGCTCGAACTCCAACCCTCAAGCGAGTGCTGTGCGGCGGTTGACGCCTTTGTCCTCTTTGACCTTCTTCTGCCGGTCGGGCAAGCCCAGTTGGAGTGGGCGGGGTTGGTGGTGGAGGAGCGAGCTACAAGCTGTTGAAGAGCTGGAGAAAGCTTAGCACCTTTTGGGGATGTTTATAATCAGGGGACCTCCCAATGACCTGGAAGAAGGAACATAGACTAAAACCCATTGGTTCGGTGTCCTCTTCTAAAAATTCTAACCTACACATCTTTCGGGGGTGGGGGTCGGGTCGCAAGGTCGCAAGGGGTCTTGACCGGGCCACTGGAGCTTCCACCATGGTATTTTGAACGAAAAAAACCACCGGAAATTCTACCCCTCGGGGTTCTGGCGCTTCGCACCCAGTGGTGCAAACGGAGGTGTCCAGGAATTCCCCCCCCTATGTGCAAACCATGCCTCCCGACGAAGAAGAGGTTTAAGGCCTAGCGTCCAAAGAGGAAAAATGATGGAACATTCGGTCGGTCTCACTGTGAGTCGCTGTGGCTCAGACGCCCAAACGATCAGCTCACGGCGCTGCGAGCAGCGCTGCTAGCGGCGCGACTTGTTGCGCCATGCTGGCGGAGGGGGCGTTTCATCAACATTTGGAAGCCTTGAAAGCCGAGTATGAGCGCCTAGTGGCTGAGAATGAGCAGCTGAAGCTTGGCAAAACAAGTTTTTCCTGAAGAGCATCAAAGTCGGTCAGTCGGTCCCTTTGGGCTACACGGATGGGGCTGGTTCCCAACCATGGATTGATTTCTCTCCACCTCCAACTCCCAATTCTTGTTCACATCCGGACTGAATATCTCTGATTATCTCTGAATCATCGTGGAATATCGTGGACTTTGAGCATCGAACATGGAAGACGATGAAGCAGTGAAGCACAGGGGTTCGCATGGTTTCACCAATTCCATCCAATTCCGTGCCGGGGGGGCTCTCTTGGCTTCCCCAAGCACTCATGGATTGACGTGGGACTGCAGTTGGATGTTGGCTGGAGACCTCAGAACTCAGAACCAGGTGAACTATGATGAACTGAGTTCTGTGGTCGTTACTTCTTGGGTCCAACGAGCTCTCTTGGCATCGGGCCTGAAGTGGTCAAAGGGCTGGCCGACATGTGAGAACAGCATGAGTCAGCCCGAGAGAATTTCAACTTCAGAAAGAAGTGCTGAATCTTTAGGGGACCATTCTCACGTCAATCTTTTTGGACTTATCTCCCGGATACTGCTACCCGGCTTGGAGGCTTGTGGTTTAGGAGGCTTGACCTTAACACACACGACGGAAAACACACGCCGCCTCCCGATCCGTGCATGTGATGCACTTCATGGAGCGGCGGGGAGACCCGCGAACCCCTGGGAGTCCAAGAGCATTCTTTTCTGTGCTGATCCGTTGCACATCCCGTACTTCGTTTCCAGGGTTCTTGCTGAACTGCGGTCCGATTCTCTCCGACCACGGCAAGCAAGCAGCGCAGGGGTCCAGTCTTTTTTCATGTACCCTCCACTAGCTGAAATTCATCGAGCAGGGGGGTCTACTCAATTAATTTTTCTCAATTAATTAAGAAATCACCCGAGAATGTCGTAGAAATTTATGCTTGGAGAAGATGTTGGATAAAGAACATTAATTGGGATTTGCTCCAACATTCCCCGGCTGTGCCTTGGATCAAGCTAGGGCAAGGCCCGTGGGAAAATAATCAAGAGGTTCTAGAGATGCTTCAGACCCCTCAATTAATAATCAAGATGAGCTAAGCCATCAGGGGCCATCAACTAGAATTGATCGCAGAATCATAAAGAAAATTAAAGAATACAAAAGGAATCTCATACAATTTTTCAAGAAACTTGAGTTTAGGGTACGCCATGACGGACGCACCCCTCAAAAACTTGAGGGGGGGGGTTAGCCTCTGGGAGAGGGGTCGATTAATTTAGTGGGCAGGCAAATTCCTGGGGAAGTGCAGGGGCAAAGCAAAAACCTATGAAGGCCAACAACAAAAAGTACTAGAACACCATGGAACACTAGATCCATTTGCAAAAACCACCAAAATGTTAGGTTAGCTTTGTGCAGCGTCCAGTAGCCGTTCATTAGAATTCTCTAGAATGTCCAGCTGACGGGGCGCTGACATCATGAGACCAGAATAGACAGAAACCAGATCTTTGAGGAGAACATTTTGCGGAAGTTGCCAGAATTGTTTTCAAGGGTTGCCAGAGTTTCAAGGGCCAACAGTAAAAATTAATCGAGGGGTTGCCAAGGGGCTCTTTACTGGTCATTCTATTTTGGAAAGGGCCAACCAGCAAAAATTAATTGAGGGGTGGTCAAGGGGCTCTTTCTTTGGGGGGATGCCCCAAGCAAAGCCTATAGCAAATCAATCAAGGGCCTCCTTAGTGTCAATTAATATTGGTGAAATCTATACGGACCCCCTCGATTAATTTTTTTATTAATTGAGGGGGGCCCCCACAAGGATCCCATCTAGTGTAGGGGTCATCTTTTTTCCCGGGGAGTCGCGTCCTCAAAAAAACACACATTTGCGCCACTTCCGAAACGGAGTTCCACAACACACGACGTCCACCGCCGTCATGCCATCCGAAGTCCCCGGAGACGCTCGCGCTCCCCTCGCCACGCTCCGCGCTCGGCCTCCTCCGAAGGCGCCGCGCGCCCGGCGCGCCCGACTCCCCGCCGCAGCCGCGGACGGAGCCGCTGGCCGTGCCGCCTCCCTTGGAGCCGCCGCCCTTCGCGGCGCCCGCGCTGCTGGGCGCGGAGACGGCGGGGGCGGAGGGGGCGAAGAGCTGGAGCCAAGCGCTGCAGGAGGGCCGAGGGTGGCAGACTGCAGGAAACGTAGTTAGGTGTGATTTGGGCAGTTGGTTCTGGCCACGGCTCAACCTCCTGGGGGTTTTGAATGGTTTTGATACATCTGCACGACAAGCTACCGGCTAATGGATCATCTAGGGGCCCACGTTTCAAACACCACCGCATCATCAGATCTGGAGCGGGTGGCCTGCAACAACAGCAATTTGGTCCCCAGCTCAATTATGTTTGTTGCTAGCCGGTTGTTTGAAGTTCCACTACCCGCAGCCCGCCAATGCGATATAATTATCATATTATATAATATAAAGCAACATCACAACCAAGAAATCTCGTTTCCCCAAAAAGAATCGACTTTTATGAGTATCCAAAGGGATCAACAAGGCCGCCCTTCGTCACTTCTATCAGGCCCGGGGTGCAGTCCAAGAGGCAGCACCCACCGGGTGCACCGGACCGACGCGGCCGCCGTGCCGCGTCCGCGGAGGATGAAGTGGCTGTGACCAAGGCCTTGGGTCTCAACGAGAGGCCCTTGGGTTTGGTGGCCTTGGAGGCCATGGCCATCCTGGTCACCTGTGGAGCGCTGCTTTTGGGCGGATGGCTCACCAAGGAGGGCTATCGCTCGGCAGCAGAGTGGGGCTTAGAGATCACCTTTACAGTACCTTTGAGATAAAAGGTCGTGTGGAATGGAGAACACGTGTGAAGAGGGTGTGATCGAAACTCAGCGTGGTCTCGGAACCTGCTGCCGACGGGTCTTCGTCGTTGCGGCCGTTCCGGCGGCGAACGGCCGGGTCCAGGGATCCGTCGGGACGTTGCGAGTGCTGGCTAAAGTGATGAAGCTGAAGCTATAGTCATATAGTAGTGAATTTGATTTATTATGATGTATGATTTTTTGCTCTGTGTTCACTGAGGTCTTCTTTGTATTCGAAGGGATCTTGAGGTGTTACTACGCAGAGAGGGAGGAGCCCCAGCCAATCAATGAGCGACAGAGAAAGTCAGAAACATTTGCAGTGCTTGATGATGTCTTCTGTTTATTTCCGGTTGACCTGCCAACTCAACAAGGACTCTTGGTGGGGTAGCCAGCTGAATGGCATGAACTACGCTGGTGGTCTGGTCTCACTCTTCAACGCAGGAAGAGGCAGCTGGTCAGCATGGCTACTGGTGATCAGGGCCCTGCGCTTGCGCAGGTTCAAGCTAGCACGGCAGCTGAAGAAATGGATGGGAGGAGGGAGGGAAGCTGCTCCTTGGTTCGCTTTTGGCCTTGAAAGTTCTTTTTTTGGGGGGGCACCCAGTTCTTTTTTGGATGTGTAGCATGTGTAGGTTGCAAGAGTTGAGAATGGACAGCTTAGGAATTTCTGTGGCTCACGGCAGACTTCTTTCTCTTCCTCTATCTGCTGGCGATCATCGTCACGAAGTACTACACCAACCTGTCGGTGGAAGAGATGCTGGATGTGGGGGCGGGTATGTTCCTGGCCTTTCGCTGTTTCATGGGAGACTTCCACAACGTTGGTCCTGCCAAGCTGGACCAGGCAGACACGGGTGGGTTCAACAGAGAGAGGAAACTGGAGTAGCAGCAGCAAGACAACGTGTGCACACGTTCCCTCTCCATACCACTGAGCGAGACAGACAGCAAACATCAGCAACAGAGAGACAGACATTTTGCTCAATGCGAGTTCAGGAACCTTATAGGGCCACTAGTCCCTCTAACTATAGAGACTCCTTACTGTATATATTTACTGTATGTAGGCCTCCTTGAAGGCACTCAGGGAGTCACCCCTTGGAGAGTCCACTATGTCAGTATGTGCGCATCAGCTGCATCAGCTGCAGGAAGATGTGCTCTTTTGGGTCCCTTTCCTGGTGATCCTGATCCCGACGGTCCTGCTGGGAGTCGGTTGCATCGCTCGTGTGATTGTGGCCTTGTGCATGCCAGACGCCAAGGAGTCAGGGTTGGACCATACATGGACATGTTTTCAGGACCTGAAAGGTGGGCGTTTCCCTTTGGATCGAGGCATTTGGCATCCAACGGTTCTTTTTTCCAACAAAAATTATGTGGAGCACATCTGGAAGTGAAACAGCCCATGGAAAGAAATTCCTGATTTGTCCACTGCTTGTTGGTTTAGCACTGGTTTCCAGGATCAAAGCATTGGCGTGAAGAAGCTCCTCGCGATGATGAGCCAAGTCTGTGTGAAGTTGAACATCGACGTGCCGGCCCTGCCGTAGCTGTGCCGCTCTCGGGCGCCCCTTCGCAGAGAGCGGCCCCAGAGTCGCAGGCGGTCTCTTACCGCACGCAGCCTTGAGCCTTTGTTCACCATTTCGGTGGCAGGCAGTGGCAGGGTGAAGATCCCTTGACATATGGGCGGTGCCTGCCCAGCATGCGTTCCATGAGGTTCCACTTTTGAAAGAACCTCGATCGCGGCTGGGATTGATTGCCGGTCCTGCCTGGGCCAGCGAGTGGTGAGCACGCGCAAGATGCGGAGCAAGAGACATGTCCATTTCATCAATCAAGGTACCAGGACGTCGCAATCTTGGATCATATACGTCATATAGTGTATACGTGCCACAAGGATCTGCCCAGGGAATTCACCATCATACATGCCAAGAGAGGTTAAGTGACCTGAACTAGGACCTTACTGGGGTACCTATGCGATAGGCTAGTTCGGGTCCTTCAACCTCTGTTGGCATGTTTCCGGGAGGGAAGGTCCTTGTTTGCCAGTTACTCTGCAGGGGGGCACCTTTTGGATTGTATACGCCCTGTGTCATTCCCCGACTGCCGTGGGGCTTCCTGTTTCTGTTGCAGCTGGAAGGGCTGTCCCGGATTCTCAATGACCCGACCTCCTGAACAAGTTCAGAGACGTTTCCTGCAACTGATGGGGATTCTACTGTAGACGATGGTTTTGGGGCGCTGACCAAACACAGAGACGTTGGGCGAAGAAAGGCGAAGCGCGTCGTTCCACGCCCACCACGGCGCTAACGTCGGCGGACCCGACGGTTTCACCGGACCGATCGTTCGCAGCTTTTCTGCGGTGAAACGAGAGGAGAGCAGCGGACGGGTGGGTGCTTGGTGCTTGAGAACAAGAGGTGTGCATCAGTCTACTCCTCATTTCATGTAATTAGACTGGTGAGATCTGGTGAGTAAGATTCATCTAAGAGTCAATCCACCCTCCAAGTGGATTGAGATTTCACCAACGCCAACGATGGTTTGCAGGTTCATTTTCAGTCTTTTGGACCGGAGATCGTGCAAATCAATGGAGTGAGTTCAGATAGCGCAAATCCGGGTACCTTTGGGAGTTGATTTGAACCACCTGTTTAGCAGTGAGTTCCGTTCGTGAAGCATCCAGCGTCCAGAACTATCGTTCTGAGAGGGTGATACATGTGGTCCCCACAGCCGAGGGGTCTTGGGCCTGTTTGAGAGAGATTGGAGGCTGATTCCCGGTAGATGAAAACATCTTCGTTCTTTCGTTCTACTTTGACTTGGAATTCATTCCCGCCATCCATCCCTTTCCCTTACCCGGGCTGTAAAACCTGACCCCCTCCCAAAAATATGGACTACCTTCCATTTCATGTGGTGTTTTAGTGGGGGGCTTTTTCATTATGGGTTCCCTCACTTGCGGAATGGGTCTCAACCTTGGTCTTTCAACGTTCTCTTCTACTCCGAGTCCGTCCGTCGGGAGTTGGGGCACTCGGGGTGGACTGGACTCGCTGAGCATCCGCGGGCCCGTTCAGAAAAGCCGCTCAGCCTGTAGGAAGGTGTCAGAACAGGCCCTTATAAACACCGCGGAGCCGCGAACGCGAGTTCGATGTTCGATGTGGATTTCACATGTCCATCTGACGAGCTGAGCATCCGCGGACGGGCACAGCTCGTGGACACTTTCAGCTTTTTTGGAGATGGCTGGTTGGGGTTGGACAGTCGTTCAATGCTGAGGGTTGGAAGGAAGGACAGTGACGTTGAGGGACTCCAATGGTGGAAGCTTCCCCTTTTCTTCCCCAACCTTCCACCTTCCTTTCGGCCGTTCCTTTGGACCGTCCTTTCGAGCCGCCCAAGGTCGTCCTTGAGGATCGGTGGCCGGCGCAGCAGGGGGGGGGGCCGACGGTAGTCTGTGTGAGGCTAGACCAGGCTAAACCACTCGGCTTCGCACCAAAGGGAGTGGTGGGACCATTCCCTTCCCTTTGAGCGAGCTTCTCGTCCAAGGAATTTTGTGGGATGGGGGGGGGGGAGCATGGGTTGTTCTGTACTCCTTCTGTCGTTCATCCCCACAGCATCGACCGCCGCCGCAGCAGATGAGAACGACCGGAGAACGGCCCAGGTGGAGGGCTCGGAGGAGCGGAACATCATCCTGAACTGGTGGTTTGCCATGCACCCCGAGAAGAAGCAGCAAGCCTTTGCCGAGCAAGTGAGAGCTGGTGGGTATGCGTGAAGCCGCTGGCGAGGCAGAATCCAAAGTGGAGCTGGTAAGTCTGAGAGTTGCCGTGTGAGCCTCACAAAGTTCACGCGCAAAAAGACAGCGTCTCAGCGTCTCGGTGGTTTCACTTCACCAGGGTCCAAGTGAGCTTTATAATTTGAAGATCACTGTATATCACTGTGACTTTAGGGGGTTTGGAGCAGGCTCCACTAAGGAGCAGGCTCCTACTGTACTGTAGTGCTACAAACAGGTAAAAGAATGTCACATGCAAGTTCCATCAGTTTCTGAGGCGAATCTGTGGCTGACCCCAGGCCACCTCGGCCATCTCTGGTCCCTTGAATTCTCTTGATCTCCTGGGTCGGTCGATGGTCTCCGGCTCTGATCTCCGGATAACGACGGTGGACGGCAGAGGAGCACCACCGTGGGGGTGGTGAAAGAGACTTCGGGTTGGCAGAGTGGACCGCCACCCTGGGAGTCAAAGGCTATAAAGAGAAGGGGACTTTAGGGGACCTGAAAGGGACTGTCCTTTTCTTTTGGACTTCTAGGGCTTCTAGGGGCCAGACGGTGGTCCACTCTGAGTGAATGGCCAGAACATGAACGTTCACCCCCATGCAGCGGGAAGGTAGTTTGCATGGTGGTTGACTTTGGCCCGCAGGAAGAGGAGCACTTCTTCCATCATGTAGTTGCAACATGTGAGTTTTAGAACCTTTATATAAGATGTCTCCTCCAGATGTGTCAGGCAACTTCCGGAGCAGTCGCTCTGACGGTCTCGCCCTTTCCGATCTCGCCCGATGCCAGGCCCTGCCCAGACGCGCCAGACAGCCAGAGGCCGTTGCGTAGCTGAGGTAGGCCGAGGTCAAGGCGTTTAAAACGTGGACGTTGTTACATATGATTATTAATGATTACATATACATGGACATTGTGCGACACATATTCATGTATTATACTGCATATAATATATATATATATGGAACACCTATTTGGGAACCCTTATGTTGTTGATTCCTCTTTGTCTGACCTCTGCCCGCCTCGCCCCAGTCTAGCCAGTAGATAGATAGGTTCAGTGATTTTTTTCTCGGAGCGTCGGGGCCCTCTCAGCGAGCACCAGTGGAAGTAGATACGTGCTCCGCTCCTTATTTCTCTGGCTCTGGACGATCATGACAATTGGTTCAAAAGGTCTCCGCCTTTGCATGTGCAATTTAGGCTTTTGAATTACCAGTGCTATCATCCACTAGCTGGCAGTGGTGTTCGAGCATCCTGCAGGACGTGCGGAGAATGTCAGGTCCTAGGGTCTTTATCTGTGGTTCAAGGCTTGCACGGCGAAACGCAACGGGTTGCAGGAGCCCCACAGGAGCCCCGCCGCTCCCCCGTAGTTCCGTGGCAAGACACGGCCACCTAGTTGTGGAGGATGGAGCCAGAGCTCAATGAATCCCAGCATGGCAGAAAAGGAAAGAGACCACGTCACATGAAAAGATTAGTTCATATTGGTCTATTTGCTTAATCTGAAGCTGGCATATAGACGGCAGAACGCACTAGTCAACCGAGAATAGATCGCCTGAAGAATGCAATTGAAGCACGGGATGTATCCTCTTTGTATGCTCAATCCATTTGTGCCACCAGCTGCAATCTCCACTCCACTCCGAGATTTTCACTATGGGGCCGGTTTTAGAAGGACCCGCTTCCAGCCGTCCCATCATCAAATCGACCATCGACGAAGGTCTTGTCGTTCGCTTGGCCTGTTGGTGGAACCCTTCAGTGGCATGACTGGCCCTCCGACACCGTCCTGGACCGGACGTGGCTGACGCCGTTTCCCCGTGCATATGACGGCCCGGGGACGTGTTTCGCTGGGCTGTTCCAAGTCCAGGAGACATTTTCCTGTACCAAGAGACTCAGAGATGCCTCCTCACCTCAACTCGGAGCACATCCCCCTGTGCCAAGGGATCCATCCGCTGCGCCAGCGAACAGGCGCTGCGACGGGGCGTTCTCCGAGCTGAGCTCGCCCCGGGGCGAAAACGGGTGCGGGCCGAGTGCAGCGGCGGCGAGGGGTGCGCGGGGATGCGTGGTTGGTCAATCAGTAGACCCCTGACTCGCTTCGTGGCTCTTTGAGCAAATGCGCGCATGTTAGAGCGAACTTGATGCTAGGGCCGTCGCGTGTGTGAATCTATCTTGAACATTCATCATATTATTGGCACAGGCTGATGCAGCATCCCGTGATCCACCCCGATTCCTCCAATTCAAGCACTGTACCCTGGGCAACAGCAGTGCCAGACCACGAACCCACTCCAGCGGCACTCCTGCGGACCGTCCCGCACCTCGAGTGGTGGAAGGTGATCTTTGGAACATGAGTGGCCTCCCTGGAATTGACATGGAAGTGGAAAATCCCCTGGTTGTAGAGGCAACATGAGGCAACTGGAAGACCCCAAGGTGCCATGGCATCCACTTCCGTGTTAGTTCCAGGGAGTGTAGTTCCATCCGCACTCGAGTCCAGGTCTACTCATTGGCTGCCACCCACTCGAGTCATCCCGATGGCCGCAGCCCATGGTCATCTCCGGCAAAGAGGATCAAAGAGTTCGGTGTCTTCAGGTCCAGATGGCCAGGTTCCAGGTATTGAACCATTGTTTCTCATGGTGATTGGCATCCTGCCCGTTCTACCGCTGGATCCTGCTCCACCAGCACTTGCTGGGATTAGGTTGAGGGTGGCCTCCCAATGCCATCCAATGCCGAATTTAAGAAAGGAACCACAGGCCGCAGACCCAGATTCGAAGAGGCTATTGCAATAGGCAGTGCTTGCATTAAGCAGTGCCTCCCAAATCGGCAGTGGTGCTGAGCCTCAGGGGGGGCACCTCAAATTCCAACCTGCCATGGAAACCCCAACAACCAGAAACAACTGGATGTTCCCCCCCCCACACAACCACTTGCTATGCAAAGGACCTCAAGCTGGCACCATCTGGGAACAACCATTTGTTTCTGTTGCTTGGGAATCTCTAGCGACAGATTCGATCGAACAAGCGCTGGCGCCCGCCAAAAATGGACCTCCGGCGCTTCACCCTGCTGGCGCTGTTCCACGTCTGGGCGGTGGCATCCCAACGGAGACAGCCGCAGATGAGCTATTTACAGGTTCGAGGGGAGGGAAGGAGGGAGAAATCCTGCGATGGCACGGCATGACTATAGTGACTACATGGACTATCCGACTATCCAGTTGCTTCATTTGGGCGACAGGTGGCCCAAGACGAATGATGAATATGGTAATTGGGCAATCACACGATTCCAGTTCATCCCCACTCTGAGCAGCCTGGCACGCTGGAAACTGGTCATTCCGTGGAGATCCATATTTTGGGAGGGTGATCCCCGGACCTAGATGTTTAGTCTTGTTTAGTCTATAGTCTAGACATTCTGCCGAATTTCTCAAACCCCGTTTTTGGTCTCTTGATGTTCGCAGGTGCCCTCTGTCCCAGAGCCGCCGCCCCTACTGGCACCGCTGCTTCGCACAGCGGTGGCCGCAAAGCACGGACCCAGCGGGGCATGTGATGAAGCATGTTTCGTGGCCTTGGTGGAGAAGGCGCGCCTGACTTCTCAGGGGTCTGACCGACTTCCATGGTCGGTCAGAGGTCTAACTTCCGAAAGGACTCTCCTCGTGCCCCTGGTGCTTCCGACAAAGGTTGGAGTGCTCCCGAAGGGGCACGCCAGAAGATCTGTTGCCCATGCGGCCCTTGGTTTGGCGTGCGCGCCAGCGCAGGGGCCTGTATCCGTATAGAGAAGCTCGCAGGACCAGGACCACTCCAGGATGTGCATTTTTGGGGCTGTCCACATGTGTCCGCCCCACAGGTGGTGCATGAGGCCGCCCAGCTGGCCTGGGCCAGGCTGGATGCCAACAGCGATGGCCAACTGGACCTGGAGGAATTGGGTTCCGTGACGCAAAAGTCATGGACGGGCAAGAAGAAACGCCACTGAGCCGAAGAAACGGGGGGGGGATCAAGCACTGGCATGCTGCACCAAGAATGCTGCTGATCTAATATGATCTATATACTGTAATCTGGACAGCAGGATGGGGTTAGAGTTTAGAGGGTTCCCTTTTTTCCGGTTCCAACTTCTTCTTATAACGTGCCCAAGGAAAACTGAGCGATGGCTGGGACGGCCTAGAGGGGAGTCCATCGTTTGGCCATCCTGAATGGCCGGGCTTTTGGAAAGAACGAACGGAAAGAGATTGATGGAGAAATCTACTGCCAGACTCAGATACTCGCTCGCTCTCTCGCTCTCTCTCTCTCTCTCTTTCTCTTTGTTCACCTCACAGTTCAAGGATACGACTCCAGATGGTGCATGAAACGATGAAACCATAACGAGACGTGCTCGGGCTTTTTGCTTGCCACCCAGGCAAGCGCTTCGTGGCCGGGGCAGAGTCGTGGCCCTTTTGGTATATCCTGGCGCAGCAGTTCTCCACGATGGACTTGTCCCGCTCGGCGCGCCTCGCCGTGGCGGTGATGCCCGAGCATGTGACGCTTGGACCGATGGGTGACGCATGTGGTCGGAGAGGCCGTACGGCGATCACGGGAGAGTCCGCGCCGGATTCGCCACCTTCCATGTTCCAGGTGTCTCCCAGTGTTTGAACAGACCGACTGGAACAGTTCTTGGTGGTTGAGTGGATTGCTTCTTGGGCCTCCCCTATAATTAAGTGGTTGCAACTGGTATCCATGGCTGCCATAGCTGAACCAAAAGGCAATTAGGGACTTGCGACCAGTTGGTCCTAAATAGGCCTAGTAAGCAGAGTTGCCAGTTCCAAGTACCATCTGAATCTAAATCATCAATCCACTCAAGTGAATCATATGCAACTGAAAAGGTAAAAGACCCAGACACTCCATGGGACTGCCATGTATGCCTACATTCAACCACCCCAATTGATCGGCATCTATGGCAGTCCCAGACAGGTCGTGTCTGTTTTCGTGCCATTCACCAGCACCACAGAGTCCCGGGTGTCCATTGGTGTCATGGAACGAACGGTCCAGGGCGCGGTGGCTCCGCTCGGTGGCCTTCTTGGATCAGCGGAAGGCTCTCTTCGACCAGGTGGCGGTTCTGAACGCGGAGGAAGGGAAGGGGCGGGGTGGTCCATGGAAGTTTCAAAGGGACGGACAAAAGGATGGAAACATCAGGGTTTTCTATTGGAGAAGCGATCTCTGGAGACCAATTTGGTGTGACTCTTCTCATTCACCCTGAGTTTGCCACGTTTTGCAGCCATTGGTGTGGCAATTTGCAGGGTCACTCTCCCACAACCATCCTAGCCCCACCCCCATCGTTTGCAGCTCCTCAGGTGGCGGGTGATGTGTCTGTGGGCGATGAAGATGGCGCCTTTGCGCTGGACGATTGGCACCGCTGGCGTGGCTGAGAAAAGATCCACCGCAGCGTGCCCACGCGTCTGCGTTTTCACGAGCACGCGCGTTTTCACGGCACTTCGGTGTGAAACGGCCGGTGTTCGGCGTTCGGGGTCCGCCACATGTTCTGCGGTGGTTTGGGAAGACCTTGATGCTACCCTCTGGGCTCAACGCTGGGGCTCAACGGTCGGAGGTCCGTCGACTGCGGGGACGGCACGAGCACAGCTGGTGTTGCAAAGCTTCTCCGCTCACCGTGACAGACACCGGTCAGGGAAGATCCACTGGGTTCAGCCTTCTCATTTCACTGAGCATGGGCTGATTGTCATTGTCATGGGGTTTTGCTTTCAGAGAGGTGTTTTGTAACGTTGTTATGCACGTACCTCCGCAACGAGGTTCAAGATTCACAACAGCAGCCGGGTTGTTGCGCATCGGTCTGTCTCTCAGTCGGATCAAGGATCAAAGAAGTGGTTGCAAATCGTTTTTTTTCCTAGTCCACTCCCTCGAAATCACCGGCACATGAAGAGTTGAAGAGATTGCACAAGTCGAGCAGAACTTGTATGAGAACTTGTATGATCATACGATTCCATTGCCAAATCCCGGTGCGCTTTTGCCCGGTGAAACCGTGCCATCATGGGTGCGGGGAAGAGTGCCTTGGATGTACTTACAACAGAAATTCAGGTCAATGGGTTCAGACTCTCCCCCATGGGGCCCTAATCAGCGTTCACCAATAAGGATATGAGATATGATATGATATACAGACATATAAGATAATATACGCAGATCAGTTTCCCGCGACCGTGATGGAAGTTTTAGTTTTCTTCAAAGACCCCGATGCTAACACAACAGAACATATCGCCCAGCTGGAGCATAAGCACCAGTGGCCACAGGTTGAAGCATGCAAAACAGATTGTGCACACGGTTGTTTTAATGCTCCAATGCTTGTGTGCGACCCCTCCGACGGACTCTGTTCGGGCCCGGACCTCGCAAGACACTTGCAGATTGGCCGACTTGCTCTCATTTTCACTGGCTCAAGCAGTCAATTGCCAATCGTGGAGGAACCCCGCTCCACCTTCAACCGCTTCTTCATGATGCTTTTGTGGGGTCTCGTGGGTGCTTGGGGTGCCCTTGGGGCTCCGCAATTTGGATGGCCCACCACCTTTGAGAGCAACGGCCAGGACTGCGGCCCTCAGCTGTTCCAAACTCACATGGGGCGACACAAGCAGACCCGGCAGAGCAAGGTGGAGGCATGGCAGCGACATGCCTACTTGGTGGGTACCAGCCACAAAGCTGGGACCGAAATGTTGCACAACACCATGCGGCGGGCGTTTGATGTCCTAGGCGGCATGGACAGTTGCAACTATGACCGGGGAGGTGGCCCAATCACTTCAGTGGCGCCCAAGCATCAGGATTGTCATTTGCATCCTGCCAGGATTCGCTACACCCATCACATGTCAGGTGATGACCTTCGAGAGCTGCGCGGTTTGACATCAGGAGCAGGTGGCTTTCGTGGAGTGATGATGATCCGAGATCCTTTGGACATGATTATCTCCTCGTATGTCTATCACCATCGGGGGGGCTGAGGCAGACACAGAGTTAGGTGTAAACATGACGGAGATGAGCCCAGAGGTGGGGATTCCAGAGATGGCCGATCGCATGTACGCGGTGCTCAGCCCCATGGTTGATGCCTACAAGGTCATGAAGCCGGACATGATGGCTGCTCGATTCGAGGATTTCACTAGGAGCTCGAAGAGCTTCAATCGCACGGTGGAGGAGTTTTGGAACAGAAGTTTACTGGAAAATCTTTGAAGTCCCTTCCCCCAAAGTGGGCCATGCAATTGCTTTGTACTTAGTAAGATTGTGAATCTCTTTAGCAGCAGTGCCGGACCTGAACCCTGATATATAAATATATATATATATATATAAATGCTTGGGAATTCTGGGATTGTGCCAGGAGATCGTCCGCTTCCTTTTTCGGGACGAGATTACCGAAAAGCAGAGACAAGCGATTCTGGATGACGCAGTGAACGAAGACCTCAACCGTGCAGATTCAGATGGATATGCTTTTCGAGCACTGTCAAATCCAAGAGCTCCGCCCGATGGCGTCAACTCGGTGAACCACTCGAACGATGACGCGGAAATGATGGACATGAGAAGGTATTTGCCACTCGTGAAGCCTCACATCTACGCTGACATCCTGAAACTCCGAAATGAGCTCGGCTATAAGGAGCTTGGGTAGACCAGGGTAGACCAGCAGTGTCAAACGGTCAAACACACCGAGAAGGCGGATGGGCGCTGAAAAAAGGGGAGAGAGCATTACGAGCGCCTCGTGCCCAGTTAGTCAAAGGAGATGATGGGGACCTCTGACACACGTTGGCTTCGCCCCAGGACCTGTTGGTTCTGGATCCAGCTGAAAACCAGCAAATCGGTGTGTTCCATAGCCTTGCAAGAAGTGGCCTTGACACCAGTGCGCATCTGTTCAGAGGCTTCTCCAAACCTGCATCAAAAATCAACTTCAGGTGTCATGCCTTGTGCTGTTTCTTTTCCCCAGGGAACTGGACAATTCGCTTCCCCCCCAATCCACCACAACACGGCGCTGCCATTTGCCTGGAGAAGCGGGCAACTCACGAAAAGATATCAGAAAGCACCGCATGTTCTTCAGCGTTTCTTGCTTGTGCATGTTGAAAGAGAATTCCCCTACATCCCCCTATATTCCCCCTGCTTGTGTGTTGTTTGTTTGGCATGTGGCAACCACTCTCCACCCAACTGGGACACCCTCAAGGACCACCGAAGTGGTTGGGTCGGTATCGGCGGTCGGCCGATCCGGACTGGGGACGAAGGCGGTGAAGTCGGGACCTGTTTCGAAGGGGGCCAAACGAATGGTCTGCAGGTTTTGACCATTCCAAGGTTTTTCCCCAGAGAGCCTCTCTCGCATGTCAGGTCGTGGGATTCTGCCCTAGCTATCTGGGTCTGTGTAATTGTTCGATGCTCTCAAAGAGAAGTAATGGAAAAAGGTACGACTTGTGACCCCTTGACCGCTTGGTGGGGCCATGTGACCCCTTCTGACCCCATCACCACTCGTGCCTGGGCCTTCCTGAGGTGTTCACAGGATCGATGAGGCCAGCAATGGGAATGGGTCGAGCCACATGAGCCATGAGACCTGGACCTACGTACCTCGCCTTTTGCGACTTGGGCGGTTCCTAGTGGCTTCCAGTTTTCTGTCCTTTTGTTGGGAAGAGCGGAGGCTGACTGAAAGTGTTTCAACATGTTTCAAGCTACAAGCTGTCCACGCAATTGTTGGCCAGCCTTCATGATGGGCTCGTGGGAACACATATGAGCTGCGGCAATTGTGGAGCAACTGGTGGAAGTTTCTGAAGAGGTCCACTCTCCTGCAAACTGCAACTCCGAGGGTTTAGAAGATCTCGACTCTTGCCAGTCCGGTCCGCACGCCTCAAGTTTGGAAGATCTTTGGGGCAGTGGCGGAGAGTGTTTGGGCATCGAACAAACGCATGTGATGAACAAGCAAATATAATACAAGTGATATTACTTTTTGAAGAGCCACCTTGGTTTGTGTTGATCACTTGCCTTGGAGTGCCTTCCTCAGATGGGGCCTGCAAAGCCGGCTAGCGGGCTCCTGATTGGTCAGCAAGCCACACAATGCAATGGACAACCCACCCCTCTCAGGGCAACAGAAGAGTAGTTTTTGGGTGCTTAGCTTCTGCAGAGAGCTGGGATGTTTCTTTTGGAATGGGAGCATTGACGGGGATGTATTTCATAACATGCTCATCATCAGGGTTTCTGGTTGAGCTGGGAGCTCACCAGTCGTCCGGGGAGCTCCCGTGTGCGCAGGGGTTCTTCATTTGCGGAGTGGATGCCTTGTCGGATGTGAAGTACTTGAAGACCCTAGGCCCGCAGCTGCGAGCAGCACCGAGCTGCATGTCAGAACGATTCTGGGCAAAGCCATTGGTTCATAGATTATGTACAGTGCACGTTTTGGTTTGGATGTTTCGCTACCAACCTCGAGATCGACATGTTGCCTGCATCATGTGGTTGGAGATGGGCCATGGGTGGTTCACGAACATGTCCGGAGGGTTTGATGCCTGATGATCCTTTTTCAGCCTCCACGCGACTTGTGCTGAGGATGAGGGGATGAGGGAATGAGCTCCTACTTTAGATTGCCTTTCGATCCAGCCACCCTGATTCCATGCACGAGTTCGTCGCACCAGTCAGCCACCCGCGTCCCAAATCTGGCACCATGGAATGCATTGCGGACATCATGGTGTCGTTGGCAGAAATCTGGTAGGATTCATGGCATATACTGTAGGGTGGGATGAGAAAAAGCGTGTCATCATTCCCAGACACGACCTGTTTGGGACTGGCATATGCTCCACACAGACAGACCCCTGAAATCAACCACCCCTGGCCTGATCGGGAGTCAGATGCCAGTCACATCAGACATGTCTGGGATTGGTTGAAGATGAAGATTTCATAGATATGAGATTGATTTCTGTGTGCAGCTCTTGGCACGACATGGTGTGACGATGCCATCCCAGACATATTCCGGTCCAAAGATGCCTTACAAAATGGCGCTGATGGAGTACGGGTAGGAGGCTGCGCTGGATGTTTGATGACGATGCTGCATGCTCTATGGTCACCTCGTAATCCAGCAACTTCCTCGCCTCAGGCGATCCTGGTTTTTGTGGGGCGATGTGCTCTTGCCAGGCATCCAATGCATCTTAAATGCCGCGCAAGAAGATCTTTACAAACACGCCCCGGGTCCAAGAAGAGGCGCTGCGGTGACTCGGCCCCCAAATGTTCGGCGCCTGGGCCTGGGGAGAAAAGGGAGCCTTGGCCGGGGGGGGCCAAGGCGCTTCTATGTTTGCAAGGTTTTTACATGTTTTTATGGCTTTATGTTTCCTTCTCATCCTTTGAGCCACCAGCAGGCAGATCTGCGCACTTGTTTTTTTCTTCGAGTTGATAAGATGAGGGGGTGGCCGAACCCGTTTCAGAGGGGCAAAACGCGCCTGCGCATGACAGCGTTTTGCCCGTGTCCTTGCATGGCATGGCCGATTGGAACCCCGAACTTCTTCGCCCATCCGAATCAGGCGAATCTCATGGTGGAGTTGCCCCAGAACTTCGACGTCCGCATCATCGGCGCGGAGGACTCGTCGGACTGCGCCCCGGTGCGACGCTGCGGCGCGTTCCGCCTGCGCGTTGAACGGTGGGCCCCGGGGAGTCGGCGTTTGGGGGGTCCGAAATCAGGCACCTCTCTTTTCCGCTTTGGGGGACTGTGAACATGTCCCCCGCCTGTTGCATTGAGCGGAGGGATCCGTTGGCCAGGAAACACCAGGTGGGAGTCGTAGTAGTACCATGTAGTACCTATAGTCGGTAGCATCAAGAGTTCCTGTCACCCCGAATGGAGACGTGTTGATGTTTTCCTGCCATTCATTGAGACGTGCATGCGCTGGTATCCACACCGAAAAAGAACAGAACTGCAAACTTTATGATCTTTAAGGCATAATGCGATCTAGAGCAATCTCCCACGGGACGAAACTCCTAACAGCTTTGAAGCAGTCATCACTACTCATCATAAGCTCACCCGATGACAGGCGGGCTCGACTAGTGTTTCTCGGTAACTGATATGGCTGTGGGTCAAAACTGGAGAACCGGGGTTGACGACTGACCGATACTTACGCAGCGTGTCCGGCGCCACCCACCGGCCCTTCCCTTTCAGGGTGTTGGTATGTAATGATGATCAACGGTACTCATGAAGGCGGATTAGACTACCAGGGGCCCTCAAAACTATGAAAAACAAAGGTTTTCATGTTACAAAAATCGTGTTTTTTGGTTAGGTAAAACCAGGTTTTTGAGGGTTTGTGGGGCCCCTGACTATACAGAAGTCAACCTACCTACCAATTAGGCTCAGCAGAGCCTCAGGCAATCTCAGCCTGCACTTCCAAGAGATCGCCGACTTCATTGAGGTGCACCGGTGCGGCGCGGCGTGCAGCCACAGAGGGCACCGCTGAGTGGGTCAAGTCGCGCGCACGAAGCCACAGAGTGCTCAGTGGTTGGTGGGTCAAAGCTACAGACAAAAGAGACCAGTGGTTGGATGTTCAGCCTTCGCATCTTGGGGAGAGTCAATCACATCCAAGAGAGGTTAAGTGACCTGAACTAGGACCCTACTGGGGTACCTATGGGATAGTCGAACTAGGGTTCTTCAACCTCTGTTGGATGCGATGTCCATTTTTGGGGCATCGGCATCCATATTGGGACTCCTGAGAGGCGGAATGAACCAGGAAAAAGCAGCACTGGTTGACGAGCATCAGGGGCTCATCATCAATGATGGTGACTGCGCTCCAGGCCTACTGTACTATCCAGCCTATCCATCGGATGCTAGGTCTATTTTTGGATGCTATTGAAGGTACAAAGGCCGTACGATCCACCCATGTTCGGTAACTTTCAGCCTTTGCTGGAAGAAGGAACCATTGGATCCAAGCCAAGCCCCCCCAAGCCTATTACAGTTGGTTTCAGAGTAGATGGCACACACCCCAAGATGTCCTAGACAGATGGGGGTCCATCTGTTCACCACCGAAATTGCCTGGGGGCCCAGACGTGCCAGGCACTCTCTCTCTACACCCTGGAAGACTAACATGGACCCTGAAAACCACTGGTTGGTAGAGGAAAACACTCTTCCAGGGGGCCATGGTCAGGGTCTATGTTAGTTTTTGGGAGTGTACCCACTATACCTTCTGGACACTTCGTCCATTTCCAGGTCCCTCCTCCCAGGCCGGCCGCGCCAAGGGCGGCGTGGTAGTGCACTGCGCCGCCGGGATCTCTCGTGCCTCCACGAGCTGCATGGCGTCGCTCGGCGCAGATGACCGGCCGTGGGGGGTTCACAAAGGGGTGGTGTTTAGTCCCATCCAGTGAGTGGATCATGGGGACTTCCTCCAATCGACACCCCGTCTTGTGACTGCTGGTGTGTTAAACATTTTTAAGTATTTTGAAGTTGAATCTATGACTCTATGACTATGAATCATGGTTGAAGTGGAAGTGGAGTGAACATCACCTGTTTGGCCTTTGGATTGACCATGGTCATCCGTTCACCGGTCATGCCATCCACGTCACCAGGCCCTTCCGATGTCGCTCTCCCCACCTGGGTGCTTCGCTTCGCTGCGATCGCGCGACGCACCGTCTTCCCGGGTTCCGCTGTGCTGGGTAGAGAGGGCCGGAACACTTCGGCCACGAGGTACAAGAGGACGAACATGGATCACAAGACGGGGTGCTTTTCTGCCAGGAGTCACAAGACAGGGTGCCGCAGCTTGGAGTGCCCAGTTTTTCCACTGGATGGATGGAACCAAAGAGCACCCCGTCTTGTGACACCTGGTGTGGACGTTTTGTTCAGGGGGGTGGAGGGTGGTGGGGTGGCGCACGAGCTGAGAATCTTGAGGCTCACATCTATCCCAGACACTCCATGGGACTGCCATATATGCCTTGGTTTTGGGGGGTCAATTGATTGGCATATATGGCAGTCCCATGCCTCGGCGCAAGGCCGCGCGCGCGGACCCGCCCACTGCGCGGACTGTCGTGACCGGGGTGGTGAGACCGTGGTGTTCGCGTCTCCAGCGCCTTGGGACTGACCGGCGCGCGCTCTCTTGAGGTACATGATGATGAAAGAGCACTGGAGCCTGGATGCCGCCTTCCGGAAGGTCCACGCCGTGAGGCGTCTGGGCTTGGCGAACGAGATGTAGACGTCCCAAGGTCGAATCGGACTCGACGCCCCGTTTGGCAGAAGGTGTGGTGGGGGTGGGTCGCAACTGTTTGGCCCGTCCGTTCGGCTGACCAGTGTGGTGGATGGCAGGCTACAGCTTGATGATCTTGATGAAGGGTGCAGCAAATCTCCAGCTTAACTAGAGGGTGTCATGAAAGGGGTGTTTCCACCAAGGAACGCCCTCAGCTTCTTGAATCCACTTCTTCAGCTCCAGTCGCACCGATCGCGAGACTTGGCTCCAGCTCAGCCGGGCGGCCACGCGGCCGAACGCGGGGGGCCCATGGCGGAGGACGTGCGGGGCTCCATGCGGAGCAGCAAGGCGAGCACGTCGCAGAGCAGAAATAGTTCCATGCAGTCGGACGATGAGGGGCCTCTTGGAGTGCAAGTCTTTCCCGTCTTTCAGTTCAAGGCTACCAACTGCTGATCCCAAACGCCAGGGCCAGGATCCCAAACCTCGGCCATGAGGGCCCATGAGAATTTGGTTTGAACTTCTTGTTTTCCTCGGACGGCTGGGTGTGACACCCTCCCAAATGATCCAATTCCCTAGACCAGACCATGGTTCTTTGAGGTCCCTTGCTTCCAAACACCCCGCTGTGCCCTGCCGTGCCCCAGCTCGTCGCCCAGGAGCTCTGAAAACTCCTTGCAGCTCTTCGGGAACGAGGACCGCCCGACGGGGTCTTCGGGGTTTGGGTGACGCTGGGGAGACCAGCTCGACGAGGCCGCAGTGGGTGGTTCTATTCTGGGCCCTTAGTTGGGGCCGAGGAAAGCTTTGGAAAGAACGAATTCAGGAATTCGTGACTTCTACTTGGAGACAGATGGAGGCTGATATAGATTCCAACTATAGGGAGGTGACGGGGAATTCTGATCTCGACCGACCTCAGTCGTTTTCAACACTACCGCCCATTGACTGTATACCAGCTGCTTCCGTTCGGGGTTACCAATGGACAACCCTACACTGCTTATTGGACACCCATTGGAAGCGCTAGGTGCAATCATCAAGGAGATTTCATCTAAGACTGTGATTTTTTTCATCTTCCTTGGAAGATGACACGGGACGTCCAACCTGTCCCAAGCCCCGATCCTTGGATTTCAAAGTGCCAGGCATCACCGTGTCCAACGTGCCATTTCCTGCAAAACGATCGTGGGACGTTCCAAACTTTGAATGAAAACTCAGTCAATCCCGTTCTGATGGCGTGGTGTGCATCTAGCCATCACGATGTTGAGAGATGCACTCAACAATGAGGGCCAAAAGAGATGAAAGACCTTCCAGCCAGAAAAAGAAATTGAACAACTATAACAACATCTGACTCCTCTGACCTTCCCGAACCCTAAACCCTAAACCCTTGGGGCACAAGAGGTTTCTCTTGTGGTTTCCCGCGTGCTTTCGCGCACTCACGCACCGCGTGAGGAGCAGGAGATCTTCAAGAGGCAGACCTTAGCCTCGGTGGCGCAAGTCATTGACCCCGAGCTGAAGACCAAGGGCCGCTTCTTTAGCTCCTTGGCCTGTTCAGCTATGTCAATGTCTGAGTCGGTCTGAGTCATTGCATTGGGTTGTTTGGAGCCGGCCGATGGACTCTGGACCAACCCCTGCATTCGGGGCTTGCCCATGATGGGTGGATGTTCAGATGTTCAATGATTTTCCCTACCCCACCAGGGGCGCTTCGGGGGTCGCCATCGGTTTGAGACATGCCCATGCAGATGCTTCCCCCGCTGGGACCGTGGACACCGCGCTCAGGTGAGTCGATTAGGGAGACGGGGGGGGTCACCAACACCCGTGCCAATCTCGACCCACCGATCTGGTCTGGTGAAAACAACTAGTGAAACCACCCCAGCAGGTCAAACTGACTCAAACACCACGGAAGACTATGACCCCAGACACTCCTATGGAAGATATTCATTGACCCCTGAAACGGAACCCATCTGGGTGGATCGCCTGCAAGGAATCTGGTTCAAGCTCAGGCAAGGTTTTGGCAGTGTTGCACCCGCGCCGCATTCATGAACCATCCCAAGCTTGTTTGTACTGTAGTTCTTCTTCTGGTTCGTGTCGGGGTGCCCTCTGGATTCCTCTGAGAGACTTGACAGTCTTCAGCGCCCAGATGGTCCGCATCTCCAACCGGCCGGCCTCCTTGCCTCGTCTCCGTCTCGCTGAGGCACCTTATCTGCGTTCCTCTCGTTGGTGGGACTCATTCAGCTAGGCCTGGAGACGGATTACCGTTGCAACGTGGGCCGCTGTGAGGCCGAACCCCTTTGGGAGCCCTGGCATGCCGAACCGGCCCAGCGAATCGCCGACGTGAACGGAGTTGAACGATCGAACTTCTCCGTTGGTGGAGTGGTATTTTTGGGTGGGCTCCTGGCGGACATAGGCCGTGGAGTGATGTGATCCAACAGGACAACACTGGGAGCAAGTGAAAGCCCCCACTGCACCAACGTTTACGCTTCTTTCTCGAACTAGGGCCAAAGGCTTGGAAGGGCCAACGCGGATTCGTGCAACCAAACATGATGCCGGCCCCTGAAGCTCCCCGTGAAGCTCCCCATCATGGTGAACAATCCCTAGGACTTGGTGACGCTGCTCTTCACCTTGATGCCGGTCACGGAGAACGCCATCCGGCTCATCGAAGCGAAGCCCAGGCGCTTTTTCTGCGGAGAGAAGACCAAGGTGAAGCCACTCGTCCACCATGGGATGAACATGGATGAGTGGAGGAGGACCAGGAGTGCGGAGCCCGGGAGACTTGTGTCAGGAGTCTGGGAGTTCTTGGGAGGCTCAGACAGGCCGTGATTCCGACTTTCCACGGACACAGGGTGTGTTTGACATGAACACCGGGCCGGAGGCCAGAATGGCCAGAATTGCTCTAAAGTGGTCACCCGAAACGCGGCGCGTGTTGGGCCGAAACCGGGGACGAAACAGGTGCACAGCGGAGACGGACGCCAAGGAGACGGACAGCGTGAGGATTCGGATCGGTCGAAGCGATGAGATGAGGCCTTTGAATCCAATATCCATTTTTACCGGGCCGGTTGAAACGAAGAGCCGGTCAGAGAAATCCTCACCCGAACACATGTTCAGGTTGGGGGAGATGGGTGAAGAAGGTGGGAGCATGGCCGAACTGGGCCTTCATGGCGGTGTGGCATCTGCACCGACCCGGAGACCGGAGACCGTTCAACGTTTAATACAGGGTGCTTTCACGCTGCAAGGAGCTGAATTCGAGGGTCTAGCGGCCTAGCCAGGAGCTTGATCCTTCCCGAATCGAACCGAGGATTTCTGGAACTCAAGGGTGTCAGACCGAGAAAGAACCGAGCTCCACGAGGGCGAGGGGTCGTTTAGCCCCCTCTTTTGGGGTTGTTTATCACCCCGTTTACATGGGAATAGTTTTCAGTCAGCGGTCTTGCGCAGCCAGTCTCACCAGGGAATGTGCACACAGAGGTCTCGGACACACAGGTCTCGGACACAGAGGTTTCGGACACAGAGGTCTCGGACACGGACAGAGGTCTCGGACATTCATGTCTCGGACATAGAGGTCTCGGACACAGGGGTCTCGGACACAGGTCTTGGACATACGGGACACAGAGGTCTTGGCCGCGCATGTATCTATAGGAGGTCTCGGAC